TACCCTCGTGCCAGGTCTTATCTTGACCACCCTGGGCGTTTGGGTAACCACAACCAGAACAGGTGACCAACATCTAAGTCAACGGATCGTTTTCTCTGACTGCCATCGGATTAAGTTTAGATTTTGCATTTTGAAAAATGATCAGCCTTGCTTCACGTCTTCCTTGCTGTTTTTCCGTTACCCGATAAAGGAAAACTGTGGTGTCGAAAATCGATGAAAGAAGATCTGTAGGGGGTCGCCTTGCGAGGGTAATCGTTATAAAGGTTATTCACAAACCCAACTGATCCTTCCATAAAATTAATCGTTGAAAAAACTTCAGAACTGCAGTGCCTCGCTGTTCGTCCAATCATTCAGAACTGGGTGGATTTTCCGGTCCATAGGTCATTCATTAGGGATTGGCGTATATAGTTTCGCACACGCTTCTGTGATAATGTAATTCGGATGCATCGCGGGATCGCCCAGTCCAATGGAGTCCAGGCGAATGCGCAACAAAAGCCTGCCGACTACCATTCGCGATACGAACCGTGACTAACCACGTAAATTCACGGAACCGTGAAGGATGCAAGACAATAACGGTAACTCCAGGAAAATCACCTGCAGACAGGTCTACTATGGAGGTATACAATAAACTTACGAGGCAAAAGAAACAGCGTCATAAACAAAACCTTCAGATGTTAATAGTGCGTTTTGCCAAGTGGGCCAGTAGTTCTGTTACAAGACCGGCTGAGTGAAGCAACTGTTCAACTGTGACAAAGCTCCGCTCAATCAGTTAGTTGGAGTAGTCTGTTCGTAAGTTTTTATTCCTATCATTGATGAAATGTTTGCCACGAAATTCAAGACCATGCAGTTATCAAAAATACCGAATGCCAGTAAAGAATTCAGCGTTACTCATTCTATTTTGCCACAGACCACTGATCAAAATCAAATGAGGACCGGTACTCACTCTGTTGTGCAACTTAATACAAATTGAAGACGATGTTTTTTTGCAGCTATTGCCTCCTATGCATATTATACATCGGTTCCGATGAATTCATAAAATATTATCGATTGACATATTTACTCCTTATGGTGTTTAGTCTTGTGCTATTTCTCGTTACAGGTGAACTGTACCCATATCTCGAATGTGAAACGTTCGAAACCTCCGTCAGATACAATGTCAATCGATCAGAAAAAGAAACGGTTACAAAATTCCGGTGTTTGTGTCTCCCTGGAAAAGGAGGCTTGCATTGATATGTTTGACACCTGGTCTAGTAAAGAGCAAGTGGATTTCCTGTGCCATGTCCTGTCCCGAATGACACACTTTCAGCAAAGTCAAGTTAACAAATTACTTGAGCCTCTCCTAAAACGCGATTTCATCGTGGCATTTCGAAGTGAGTCATTCCGTACCCATCAGTCACTTGCTTTTGGTTTATGGTTTTACCAATGCCAACTGTATCCACTCACATCCACACTGGATCATACGAAACCCTCGCATGTTGTGGAAATATGTTGGCTTTCTTCAAAGTCAGAATGGTTCTGGCAGTCTATTGGGGTCCAGCTTACTGGGGTCACGCATCACTGTATTTGAAAACAAAACATAGAGATAAGTCCTTGTGCGACGCAAACTGGTCATCTGAAGATAATGACATCGATATCTTCACCTAAAAACATTTTCACAAAGAGAAACAAAAGACTGCATCCACAGAAGAAAACGTTGTTAAGCAAACAGGACCTTCTATTGTCCCGCTTCTTTAGACAGGTGTCTACTTATAGTACACTTCATATTCTCTGAAGCTATCATACTTGGACACAACTCGATTGAGAATGTTTCTCAGCGTTGTTTGGCATAACGGTAGATCCTACGGAACATGACATGCACGGTCGAAGTGTAGCTTTTTTATTCCACGACTTTAATTAAGAAGTTGAGTGTTGAACACAAACATCAAATTTACCTGATGGTTGTTTAGAGATGGAGGTGCTGTCTCACGACCTGTGAAAGCCATCCGGTCTCTAGTTTCCGGTGCTTCTCGATATCCCGGTAGGTATCAGAAAGATCAACCGGTTAGTCAAGGGGAAATATATTGTTTCCGTAAAGGTACCGAAAGTTTAGCCTGAGTACGCTCGAGAGTATCCGAAAGCGAAGATCTTAGCAAGACAAGGTGTAGCACTGAACTCACGCACCTTTTTAAGTGAAGTTACTTCACTGGAGGTAGCTGAAAGACCTAGCTACAGAAGCGGCCTCAGGATATCGACGATCTTGGCGGAATCTATGCTACAAAGGAGAAGAATGCATGAGCGAGATGCTCCAATTAACCAATACCTGCAACCATGCGAAAGCATGCATGCGGAACAAGCAGACCAAAAATAGTGACAACTGTCGAGCATGTTACAGTGTCGGTCTGAAGCCACTACAGTTATTATTCATACGGCTTTTCGCCGGCAGAATAAAGTTAATTGAGGAACACTGGTTTTGAATAATTCGGGAATTCGTAGCCATACAGATTTGGACGTTTTGGTGCTTCTTCCATGTGACATTTCTTCCCACATACCTACGATCACTATGCGACTGCACCTTCATGTGGTGTGAGGGATCGTGCACCTCTATGAACGACTGAGCAACACAGAATGTCTTTTATCAAGCCACGAAATCTTGTCATGTCTGGAAGGTCAAAGGGTAGAGGTCAGACAAAGTTGAGTCTCCTGGTCCTCCAGATTGGGGGTTCGACGGGAACCTAATCGTTTTCCTGCTTAGTGACTGAACATCCTGGTATTATTCGTCCGTAATGCTCCAGTGGGCACAATCAAAGAATTCCATACTGCATCGGTCGTCGCGCACGATAATCAGAACCTCACTACCCAATGCAAGGGTAGATCAGCGTCCGAAAGGTGTTTGTTCATCGTTTCAGCATATGCTGCATTTCTGACGCACAAAAGGACGAGTCCTTTGATAAACTCATCGAACTCATTCGGTTGAGCCGAAGCTCCGATATAGTTCTCGCAAGTTGGAAAACTGAGCACATCGGAAGCTTGCGTAGGTGGTAGTTGTGCTCTGCCCTGCGAGAGAACAGATGGTGATCGACTTCTACAGTTTTGCGCTGATCATCATCTGTGCCTATGCAGTACCAACTTCCGACAGCGCATCAAAGGAGATAACCATCCGCATTTCCAAGGTTCGAGTGGCATACGCAAGACTTAACCATCTGTGGCGACAACGTGACGTTTCACTGAAGTCAAAAAGTTGCGTATATTACGCCACTGTACGATGAGTTCTGCATTAAGAATGTAAGAACTTGAATTTGCGACTACGAGACATCCGTCACCTAGGGATTTTCGCCAATCGACGCTTACTTAGTCTGGCCCAAATGAGATGGAACGAGCGGGTTAGTAATCTAGAAGTAGGTCGTCGGGTGTTTGGGAATTCATCAAACACAAGCCCGCTATTGCATCGAATTCAGCTCAACGGGCTCCGTTGGTTAGGGCACGTTTTGCGTGTCTAACGGTCGCCTACCGCACCGCGCCTTATTTGCGGTGGCCGCTGCAGCCTGGAGAAAGTCACATGGATACCAGTAGATAACGCGGAGACGATACATGAAGAACTACACAACTTTTAGAGTGTGTCTCGTCTTCTGGGTTGGGTCCAAAAGGTTACGTAACTGGATAGTTGGAAACACTGAGGGTCACGACAGCAGTGGCGATCTTGCTGTCTCTTCTTATCAGACCAGAATGCTTGAAATAGTGTGTATGCTTAGTTAGATTGTGTAGTCTGTGTTGACCATATTGGTTCGCTTTCCGTTGCCATCCCTAGAAATTAGCCCAATCTATCCTTACACATTCTCACTTACCTTGTATGCATTATGAGTATGGCAGCGATTAGTATTACGCTATAAAATGATGGTGATGATGATACCTACGGTAAATAGTAGGAACGCTGAATCACTGGCTCGCTGGAGCTGGGGACGCTATAATGGCGAGCCGGGTCCAAGTTTTCAGTTCTCAGTCTGTACAACCTTTGGCTTTGCACTTTTTTGGCCCGTTCTGGTTGCTGTTTTCCTTTACCCATTTGGATGAGTAGTTTGAGGAAAACAGGAAAGTTTAAAGTAGAATCGAGTAGAAAATTGAAAGTTTCAGTGGACTAAGGATGCAGGAAAATCGAGAAGATGCACGGAGGTCATTGTTTATGACACTCAACCATGTCACTCGGTGTCTCTAACCTTCGTTTACGATCATCCCAAGGTCCCCAGCCAGGGAGCCTAACGTGACTTGTGTGACCGAGTCTCCGGTTTAATGCTTTCATACCCTCGTGTCAGGTCTTATGTCGATCACCTGGCTTTCTTCAACCAACTAACTGGTCTGAGTAAAACAGATTTGGTATGAGATCTGGCGACAATAAGCTTGTTGCTGTGGAACTTTGAGCATCTGTACGCGCCAAGAATAGTGATTAGAATCGTTTAACCACCACCAGGGAGGCTTTACTGCTGAACAAGGAAAACCATAGATAAATTAACGGGTGACTTGAGAGATTTGGGACTCAAAACAAATGTGCATGCGGACCACATATCTTCCGATTGGCTTCATGTTGCGTTTGACCAGACCAACTGAAATCCATCCCATGGGTGTTTGTTCCCTGGAAATGATGTTGTGCTCTCCATCCATCCAGGTTTCCACTGTCTTGTGCGGTTACAGCCACCTTGAGTCGAGTTGGAGAAAGCTGAATGCGTGTAAGCTCTTGCTGTCTTTTCGCGCATACCAATGCTTTCATTTGTTTTCGGTTGAGTTTGTTTAACTCTTCGTAGGATGGTCCGAGGCATCTAAACAATTCGAACATTGCGGAGTGCTCTGATCTTCTTGAATGCTTCGCCACATTTTTTTCTTTAAGTGAGAGAATCATTTGGTTTCTATGCAAATATATCAGTGTCCATTTTCTTGCTTAATTTTCTCTGAAAAGTGATCTACTTGTCATTTCATTTCAGGTCATGGTGTCCCTCATTTGGCGGAGCTGATACTCACCCAGTTGGATGCTTCAAGTTTGAAATCAGTAGAGTTGGTGTCGCGCGGGTGGCAGTGGAGCGTAGCTAAATATCAGCTATGGCGTCGACTGATAGCCCGTCGTATCGCTACCGATCCAGCCTGGCACGGGCTTGCAGAACGCCGTGGTTGGCTGGAGTTGGTCAACCTTTCTGATCCTACCTGTCTCCCTGCCGCTCTCGAACGTCGCGGTATTGCTATGGGTCTTCGACAAAAGCTCTCCGATTCCTCTCTGCTCACTAGTGGTTGTGACGTTTGCGGCGCGGGCGTAACAGGTCCAGATTCCGAATTGGGAGCCGTTAAGGGCACTCCTACTTCTTGTCAGTGTCACATTGGTGGCAACAATTCTAGTGTTCATCCCCTTCGACCTTCGTTACACACAGCCGATGTGGACCTTTCGCATTTAGTCTCCCAGAGCGAGCTTGTGGGATCCGTTTCGTCTTGCAACGTCGTTCCCTCAGCAACTGCAACTAGTCCCATTTCTCGTATCCCACCTGTTGGTGCCTTCGAGACACCCACTCCACACCGGTCGTATGCTAGCTCATCATTTACCCTGGAACCTGATCCCAGCGATACTGCCTCACCTGAAACGATCATGTTCGCCCATCGCTTCTATAAACAACTGTATCCTCGCATAATACGAGATATTAAGGTGAGCGCATTAAATATGATTAACTTTTACATTTATTTACAACTATATTTTGTTACTTAGCTGTTGGTTGGCTAATGTAATAAAAGTTGCGGTGGTATAGCTACCCTAATCACTAAAAAATCAACAGCGCCAAAGTTTATGCGTTCCAATGGAGTTTTAGAAATGATCGCAATAGTTTACCAAATCATTATTAGAATTTTTTTACAGCATAATGAATGATATACTGTAAGCGGGAGATATGTGGGGAACATTCAAGTATGAATCAATTTGTTAATCCTGCTTTTGAAAAGGAATAAGGTTATAAGAGCTTGGAAACACGGAAATGGGAAGTGTTCCACAAGTTCACAATCCTCGGGAAAAAGAAGATTGAAGGGCAGAAGTCTAACTTCTGGGGACGGAAACCTGATAAGGGTGACTGTCCACCTGAGAACGAGATGGACGAGAAAAGGTCAATGAAAGAAGAACCGCCGAAGCGAGTTCCGAAGAGCAGAAACTAAAATAGTAACGATAGGAAAGAAGTAACGAAGCAACTGCCCGGTGTTGGAAAAGTGACTGCAGGTTGGAAGTTGAAGACGGTTCATCGATCAGCCAGATGACCTTTCGTTGAACACGGTCGGGGAGAGAAAGAGCGGAATACGAAGCTCCACCCCATACGTGACTGCAGTATTCGGGCATCGGGTGGATTTGAGCTTTGTATAAAAACAGAAGGTGCTTGGGTGTAAAGAAACACTTAGCGTGCAGCGTGAGAGGCAAGTGTAGAAATAAAAAGGGACCAACAGAGAAAAGAATTTATGGATAAACCCAGGAGGGAAAGAATTTGTGGAACGAAGGGCAGAGATTCAAAAATCAGTTGAAGAGAATAGGTAACACATTTAAGAGGTGTGGGGTAAGAAAGAGAAAGATTGAGTGTGACATTATCGGCAAAGCAGTGGATGAGATTAAAGGTTTGGGATAGAAAATGGTTGATAAATAAAGATGGTGGGCGAAAGTATGGAACCTTGGGGAACATCGGCGTTCACAGGTAATAGCCGAAATAGAACCCCATCTACTCGGAATGAGATAATTCGCTTACTGAGGAAACATCCGAGCCACGATACAATAGGCGGGTGGAATCCGAACATAGGTAATTTTGACAGCAGACCTTCATGCCAAACGCGGTCGAAGGCCTTTGAAATGTCGAGCGAGACCATGTGGGTTTCTCCGTGGTTATCGAATGTAGTTGACCAAGAATGTGATGTAAGCACCAGTAGGTCACCCGTAGATCGACGGGCGAAACCAATACAGATGGTCATTCAACAAACTTTTGCGTTCGAGAAACGTACGCAGTTGGTCGGAGATAATGATTTCAAACACTTTCGAAGTTACAGGTGAGAGTGATGGGACGGTAGTTGTTCGGATCGGAAGGGTTACCGCGCTTTGGGATTGAAAACATAATGGCATTTTCCATGGAGTAGGGAAGATTTAAGATAGAGTGAAAAATAGAAAAGGCGGCGTACAACAGGGCCTAACTCCGAGGCACATTTTTAGGACGATAGGTGGAATACCGTTCGGATCAATTGATTTACAAAGATCCAAACCACGAAGAGTTTGACGGACCTTTCTGATTGTTATGATAGGTAGAAAGGAGTGATTGGATGTGTAGGAAGAGGATTGAACCGTAGAGTCGGCAGATAAAATGGAGCTGGAGGTAAACCGGGAAGCGAAGACCTCTGCTCTTCCGTGGGGTTCACAAACAACAGTATCAGAGGAATTGTAAATGGGAGAAAAGTTGGAAAGGTATAAATTACGTGAAACCGCTTTAGCGAGGGACCAGAATCTTCGGTTACCGGTGGCGGGAGGAGCCAAGTGCGCAGCTTTGCGACAAGTGAAGCGTTCGTTAGCTCTCCGAATAACGACCGAACATTTGTTTTTGGCTTGCACGAAGTGGATGCGGGATGCTGGATTGGGTGAGCGGTACCAACGATGGAATGCTGAGTTTTTAAAACGTACAGCACGGTTGTAAGCATGGTTAAACTACTCAGGGGATCGTGGTTCTCCGGGTTTGGAAAAGGTTGGAATATAGAGATATATACCTTGAAGAACAATCTCCGTGAAGTTTGAAACAGAAGTAGAAACATTAGATTTTAAACAACAATCCTTCCAGGGATAACAAGCCAGAAAGTGACGAAAACCGTCCCAATTGGCTTGATCTTAACGCCAGAAGGTGCGTCTGGAGTTAGGTGGTGCAATGGAGTGAGAAAGGAAATGAGGCAATGGTCCGATGAGCCTAATTGGGAAAGGAAAGTGATGTTGGAACAAGAAGAGGAAATGGATGTGAGAATGAGCTCAATGGTGTGGGTGCGGTCACCAATACGATCAGGGATGCGGTGGGGAGGTTAACTAGGTTGTTGACCACAACAAAAGCCCCTGCTTCGCGTCCCATGGACCCAGTGTCTGAGCTGTGCTTCAGCCATTCCTTATTGTGGACACTGAAATCTCCGACAATGGTAATTTGGCTCCTAGGGTCTGCTACCATTAGTGTCTCAATGTTGGAAGATAGCATATCAAAAATAGAAGAATCGCTGCTGCTTGGGAAGTGGTAAACAGTACAGAAATAGTGGTTGGAAGAAGGGAATCGAAGTTTCAGCCACATAAGCTGAAATTCACGGTTAGAGAAATCTAAGTGCGAAATTCGCGAAGAAACGACAGAATGATGGGTATAGGCACAGACACCAGTTTCAGAAAGAAAAGGGGAATGGAGGAAGTAATCAGCGAACTGAAGGTGAGTAGTGTTTGATGAGGGAGAGGTCATATGTGGTGTGAGAGAAGACCGGCAACCGAACCCTTGCAGTGGTAAACCGCATAAGGCCTCAGTTGGTTGAGCGTGGTAGTGAGCCGGGCGACAGCAGGGCTGTCTACCACATTGCTTTTGTTGATTCACAGGTAAACGAATCGAACAGTAACTTATTGTGTCTCATTCACTTGAATCTTTTGAAACTGATTCACCCACGTAATTTATTTCCCGTCCCCCCCCCCATATTTTTCAGCGTGTCGAGGACAATTGGTCTCGAGGTAGTTATCATCTGACGCGCATATCTTGTCGAAGTGACGTAACAAAAGGTGTTTACTGTCTTCAGTATGATAAGGAAAAAATTGTCAGTGGCTTGCGCGACGATACCATCAAAGTTTGGCGACGTTTTGATCCACAAACCTGCCATTCTAGTCGACATCAGCGATCTTCACAATCAAGCACTCAGAGACCTGTTTTAGTTCCACGGGAACCAACAGCTGCTGATGCTGATCCAGGCGCCGATGAAGCTCCACGACCCGCCGGTGAAAATGGAGAAGTCAACCCGGCACAGGAAGCTGGCGACGCCCCTGCCCCCGAGGGATTTACCACTGATGCAGGCAGTGATGGGTATCATTGCACTCAGGTAGAGTTCGAACCACCATCTGCTTCTGGTGCCGTTGCAATCCGTGCTTGTATGTAAACCAAAATTATCGACTATTATGGACGAAGGGATGTCAACTGTCTGTTGTGTTATTCATTGAAGAATTTGGTACAAATAGCAACTAAAGTTACATCTGAGTCCAGTTGATTTTGACGCCGTCCGTGAATTTATATTAACATATTTCAGTTTCAGGTTTTACAACCATTAACCATGCACTTTCGTGCGCCGGTTTTGGTTGCTGTCTTTTGGTTGCCCATTGGGATGAAGAATAGGAGAAGGGAAAGTTGAAAGTGGATTCGAAAGGAAAATGAAGAAGTTTAGTGGACTAAGGTTGGGAAGAAATTGAGGAGATGCACGAACGCCACTGTTTACGACACCCAGCCATATCACTCAGTGTCTCTAACCATCGGTAACGATCATCCCGAGGTCCCCAGCCAGGGAGCCTAACAGGACCTATGTGACCCAGTCTTCTGGTTAGGGTTTTCA